ATTATGTGGGTATTAGACTATAAGCAAAAACACAGTGGTATCGTTGTCAATTTGTTAGGCCTGTGAACATGGGTTGCTTTATCATAGATGTCACTGTGGCGAACTCGATTCACGGTGATGTAGAAGTAACCTAAAGTCCTGCGGAGATAACAAGTCAGGAACAGTCACAAATAAAAACAGTGGGAAATGTGGGGTGCTTATCTAATCTGTAGTGACAAGTGTCCCGGCCATTCAACTCCTGCTAGAGGTATTAGGATTTAAAAGCCTCTGTGAACACAGACTTGCAGCCGTCTATATGTCGTTATTAACTTTGGCAGTCTGAATGAGAGCCATGCGGCTGGCTGTGGTTTGGGGTCAGATTTGGCAGTCTATAGGACTGTTGAAGCTGTCTTGGTAGTAAGTCGGGCAAAAATGTGGTGTTGTGGGCAGTTGCGGCTACTATGTAAAGATAGTAGCCTATCATTGAGCACTTTTATTCCTGGCTTCCCCACTTCCTCTCATCTAGCACTCCTTCCCTTATACTTGGGGATTTTAATATCCCAATCAATAACCCCAATTGCACTGATGCCTCTCGTCTGCTCTCTGTAACCTCCTCCTTTAGCCTTACGCAATGGTCCAATTTAGCAAGGAAAATTATACAGCAGGAAACACTCTTGATATTGCCTTCACCAACCTCTGTACTGCCTCTAATCTCTCCAATATTACTTTTCCTCTATCTGACCACCATCTGCTGACTTTTGACATTGGCATACCTAAGACCCAATTGACACCACCATCTGAACATCACTCTCACAGAAACCTCCAATGTCTTAACCTAGAGCATTTCTCCACTATCCTCCAAACTCTCCTTTTACCTATCTCAAACCTCACCTGTCCTAGTTCTGCAACCTCCTTCTACAATTCCACCCTCTCCTCTCAACTAGACATCATGGCACCTTGTACATTTAAACGCCGCAGGCCCCCCCAATAACAACCCTGGCACACCAAGCTCACTCGATACCTCCAAAAATGCTCCAGAACTGCTGAACGCTGTTGGAGAAAGTCCTCCCGCCACACCTGACTCTGACCTCTCCTTCAAGCCTCATGTTCAATCTATCGCCAAATCCTGTCATTTCCATCTCAAAAACATTGCGCGCATCTGCCCCTACTTAACGCCTGATGCGACTAAGGTGTTGGTCCATTCCACTCTCCTTTCTCGCCTTGACTACTGTAATCCGCTTCTCAGTGGTCTTACGTGCTCCCAACTTGTGCCGTTACAGTCCATAATGAATGCGGCGGCGAGGCTCATCTTCCTGTCCGCCCGCACCTCCCATGCCTCACCCTTCTGTCAGTCCCTACATTGGCTTCCTATAAAATATAGAGCTCAATTTAAAATTCTGGTTCTTGCCTTCAAATCTCTACATAATGCTGCTCCCACCTATCTATCCTCACTTACACACAAGTATGTCCCGTCTAAGCCCTTACGATCTGCTGAAGACTTACGTCTATCTTCTGTCCGTACTCCCACCTCTGATGCTAGCCTTCAAGATTTCTCGAGGGCTGCACCATTCCTGTGGAACTCGCTCCCTCCTCCGTTAGATGCTCACCCAGTCTCCACTTCAAAAAATCATTAAAAACCCACTTCTTCATAAAAGCCTATCAATTAAACTGTTAATAGCTCCCAACTGATTCCTCTTCTGCAACTGACACTAGTCTAATACTATCCTTACCTTTTTGTGTCATTTTACCCCACTCCCTCTAGCATGTAAGCTCATTGAGCAGGGCCCTCAACCCCTCTGTTCCTGTGTGTACAACTTGTCTGGTTACAACTACATGTCTGTTCACAGGGCTGGACTGGGGAAAAAATTTGGCCCGGGCATTTTTTATTCACAGCGGCCCACTGAAAAGGGGGCGGGGGTGGGGCCAGATAGGGTGTGTTTTGTCATCCCCAATGGAAGTGAGCATGTTGGTTCAATGCTCTTCCAGGGCATGAGAAAAGGGCCCTGTATTTGTTCTGCACAGCGCAAGCAAATTTAATAACATGCTTGCGTTGTGTTTCCATAATTGGGATACTCACTGTATCCCATTTATGGAGACACTATGTGTTTGCTTAAATGGAATCGTGTGTGCATAGGGGATCCAGAATGTGTATGTCAGAAATGTAGTGTGTGTAGCTGGTGCAGCGTCTGTGTGTAGGGGATCTAGTGTGTGTTTGAAGGAGTGCGTATAGGAGATCTAGTGAGTGTGTGAGTGGTGCAGCGTGTTTGGGGGCTGCTGTGTGTGTGTGGGGTGTAGTGTGGATTTGTGAGGAGTATAGTGTGTGTGGGAGGGTGCTGTGTGTGTGGGAAGGTGCTGTGTGTGTGTGTGTGTGAGGGTGCTGTGTGAGGGCGCTGTGTGTGAGGGTGCTGTGTGAGGGTGATGTGTGTGTTAGGGTGCTGTGTAAGGGTACTGTGTGTGAGGATGCTGTGTGAGTGAGGGTGCTGTGTGTGTTAGGGTGCTGTGTGGGTGTTAGGGTGCCTTGTGTGTTAGGGTGCTGTATGTGTGTTAGGGTGCTGTGTGTGTGTGAGGGTGCTGTGTGAGGGCGCTGTGTGTGTTAGGGTGCTGTGTAAGGGTACTGTGTGTGTGAGTATGCTGTGTGAGTGAGGGTGCTGTGTGTGTTAGGGTGATGTGTGTGTGAGGGTGATGTGTGAGTGAGGGTGCGATGTGTATGTTAGGGGGCTGTGTGTGTGTTAGGGTGCTGTGTGTGTGTTAGGGTGCTGTGTTAGTGTTAGGGTGCTGGGTGAGTGTTAGGGTGCTGGGTGAGTGAGGGAGCTGTGTAAGTGTTAGGGTGCTGTGTATGTGTTAGGGTGCTGTGTGAGTGTTAGGGTGCTGGTGAGTGTTAGGGTGCTGTGTATGTGTTAGGGTGCTGTGTGAGTGTTAGGGTGCTATGTGAGTGTTAGGGTGCTGTGTATGTGTTAGGGTGCTGGTGAGTGTTATGGTGCTGTGTATGTGTTAGGGTGCTGTGTGAGTGTTAGGGTGCTGTGTGAGTGTTAGGGTGCTGGTGGGTTTTAGGGTGATGTGTATGTGTTAGGGTGCTGTGTATGTGTTAGGGTGATGTGTGACTGTTAGGGTGCTGGGTGAGGGTGATGTGTGTGTTTGCAAGTTTTGTGTAATGGGGGAGGAAGGTAAATGCCAATATTGATGTCTTTTTTTATTATTATTATTATAAAAATAAATACATTATACCCCCCCTCCCTTCATACCTGTAGCCTGGAGGGGGGGGTGCTGCTGCCAGCCATCCCTGGTGGTCCTCGTGGTAAGTGAACTCTAGCCCTTTAGGGCTAGAGTTCACTCTCGCAAAACCCGGCCGGTTGCCAAGGCAAAGGTCCAGATCTCGCGAGAGAAACCCGGTGGAGCTGCAAGTTATCGCTCCGCAAGGTCCTCTCTCCAGGCTGGCTGTCTCCCTCCCTCTCTCCCTGCCAGCGGCCGCATTTGACAGCATGTGGGCCAGTGAGGGAGATCCTTGATCTCCCCACCGGCCCTTCATGGAACACAGCGCCGGCCCTGCATAGACCAGCTGGATCTCTCCGGCCTCGGCCCGTGGACATCGCAGCCCACCAGGCATTTGCCCAGTTTGCCCAATGGCCAGTCCGGGCCTGTCTGTTCGTCCACCCATTGTAAAGCGCTGCGGAATTTGATGGTGCTCTATAAATATCATAATAATAATAATAATAATATCTTTCCAGTGCCAAGTGTTATATCAGATTCACCTTGGGGTGAGTGAAGTCTTGCCCTTATGAGGTGACTGCCACATAGCAGACTGGCATGGAGCCCCGGGGGATAAAGGTTGCGTTCTTGTCGGGTGTCCAGGTGTGGGTAGCCGGGGTGTTATTAGCCGGCCCGCCCTGGGTGAGAGGTATATGATGCAGTCCCAGAGTAGGGCCTGGGCTTCCTGTATGTCTTAGACTATGTGCGTGGTCGTCCGTTGTGCTACTGTCAGCGCCCTGGAGGAACGCCAGCAGTATTCAATGTTTTGGAGCCGGAGCACTGTGGTGCACGGCTTAAATGATCTGCGCCAGGCTAGGGTGCCTCCGGACAGGTCTGTATAGAACTTCAGTTCCATGTCTTCAAAGCGAAGGGGGGTTCTTCCTCCTAGGGCAGAGAGGATCGCCGCTTTTTCTTTTCTGTTGCGGAGGATGAGGATTACATCCCTCGTGTCTGTTGTCGGAGCATTGGCCGGTTTGGGGACCCTGAACACTCCCTCTGGGACCGGTAGTTCGGCTTGCCTGCATGTCAGGATTGCTGGCAATAGGCGCCCCATGACTTTCGGCAAATCTGTATTCGGGATTCAGACCTTGTATGTCCATGCGGAGTGCTGTGACATCCTCGTGGATGTGCCTCTGCAGGTCCCCAAGTAGCGTTTTAAGGACAGCTGTGGTTACAGGCTTCGAGTCCGTGCCAACTCCACGCATCTTCCCTCCCGGCTTGAACTTGGGTGTCGGCATAGAATCTTCCCCCATGTCATCAGATAGCTCCTCGGAGAAGTCCAAGCATCCGCTGTGCAGCGCCGCCATGTTAGAATCGCTGCCGCCACGTGTTTGCCTCCACATCTCCCCTATCGTGAGTCCCGAGGTGGGCTTGTGTGGAGTCGTTTTCTTTCCCTTTTTCCCCATAAGGTCTCGGGGTAGTTTCCATTGGTAAGGGTAGAAGGGGGGTTATTTTATGTCGTTTTATCTTCGATTAGGGTACGGAGCTGCTCTCTCTTGTGACTGATCACTTCGGCGTTCAGGCTCCGCCCCCCAAAACTTTAATTTTTTATTTCACCACTGACTCTTTTTTTTTAAATCCAGTGCCTCAAACGAGCATCAAATGCATATTACATTTTAAGACAAACATCATTAAATACACATTGCATAAAAACCTATAATGACTAATAGTAGTCAGACTCTGTATTGTAAGGTGTGCGTATGTTGATTCAGTTTAATACCAGTTTACACTCACCTGTGCAGGTTGTATATGAGACAGATTGACTTTCAGTGACATTATCAGCCGCTCTTGTAAATACAGTGAATGTATATGTTACTCCGGGTGTCAGATTAGTTACATTGAGTTGATTTGATGCCGTTGTTTGATTTATCACTACAGATGAAGGGCTGACTATTTGTACTCTGTAGGTGTAATCACTTCTATACTCATCAGGTTGATTCCAAGTCAGGAAAACAGATACAGTAGTCATTTCATTATTTCCGAGCTGTTTCACTGGCATCGGTTCTAGAGTTAGAAAATACAACAATCTGTTTCATTCTGTAGATAGCAATGATCTCTCAGGGAATTATTATTATTAGATTTATTATTATTGATAGACATTAACCCAATACATATATATATATATGATTTTTTTTTAATTAAACTTGGAATTGTAGTGTGATGAAAACATAGGGGAAGATGTATTAAGACAATATTGATGCTATTCTGGGACAAAGTGCTAAATAAATCACACATAGATTGAAAGTGCCACATGGAGGGGTATGGGTGGGGAATGGAACACATGGATGCAGGGGCGGACTGACCGGTCGGGCACTTCGGACACGGTCCGAGGGCCCGGCCGCGAGGGGGGCCCGCCGCCAGGGCCGCCTTCAGGGGGCCCGGCGGCAGGGTTAGATTGTGGGCGGCATTTGGGGACTGCAGGTGCCACCTGGTGGCCGGCCCGGTGGCACACTGTGAGGGGGCCGGACGTTTGATGCTGCAGCCGCCGGACCGGGTGGCAGCCTCGCCGGTCTGGCGGCATTCCTCTCAATAACACTGAAGGAGGAGGAGGAGGAGCATGTGTCGGTCATGCGCCCTGCGGTTCCCACAATTCCCAGCACAGGATGTGGGAACCGCAAAGGAGCATGATAGACACATGCTCCTCCTCCTCCCCCTTCAGCGTTAGTGAGAGGAAT